TCAGGGGTATTTACTTATATATTTATGGTACAGGGTAAAAGTCGTGAGCCACCTTGCATTTCTTTAAATTTTGTTATGAAAATAGGAAAAGGATGCAGTGTGTGACAGGATAAAGGACCCACACATGCAGTGATGTATTGATACATGCAAAGATACATGGAAATTCAATAAGTAAGGCAGAAATAACTGTGCAATTCTAAAAAGCTTCAGAGTCAAAATGACCACCTTTATTTTTTAGCACAGCCTAAAGCTCTAGCACAGCTTTGAGGTAATGTTGTTGTCATTTCTTTAAGCAGTCTGCAGGAATAGTTCTGCAAGCTTCTTGAAGGACATTCAAAGGCCTTCTTTGGATGTTGGCTGCCTTTTCTTCTGTTCTCTGTTAAGATGACCCCAAACTGCTTCAATAATTTTGAGGTTCAGTCTCTGGGGAGGCCAGTCCATGACTGATACTTTTCCACTAACGAGGGGTGGTTCAAGCCTTTTGTAGCAATATTAATATCAAGAATACATAAACAGAGGCACAGTCGAATGAGAACAAAGAAATGCAGAAATTCTAACTATAAGTCATTCCTGTGAAACTATGTGAAAATGCTGTGGGGGATTTTTGTTGCAGTGACCAGCTAGAACAACTGAGAGCAAGGTACTGCAGTTTAAAAAAGATTTTTTACCATACCATCACACGTTGTTAGCATTTTATCCTTATATGATTTGAGAAGCAGGTTTTCACAATGTTTTCTAATGAGAAACCTGTGCTCACTATATTCCTTCATTAGCTTTTTTCATGAAAAACTACTTTATTTTGCTGCATTTCCTGCTATTAACAACTTTACTTACACTTGAGGCACCTATAGTAGAATTGTAAAGGTCTATTTATTAGCTACAACACTGCTAACATTTCATTAGTTAGCAAACAAAGGCAGACATCCAAAAGCTAGCAGAACAGGATGTTTTCATTGCTTTCATTTCATTACTTTTAGAACTTTCTTCTGAGACATGGTTTACATTTTAATCCAAGCCATAATCTTGCCTTGGAATAGAATGTAAATCAACCTCACCAACTAGTTTTGCTGCTCAAACCTAACCAACCTGCAAGCTGAGAATAACATAAAAGAAAGGAAATATTTCTGTCAGAAGGCTTTCTGGCAGGGAGCCCTGAAGGCAAACCTGTCCTGCTGCCGATTTATGCTGAAAGATGTATTTTATTTGTATGTGTTTTTACATGCACAGCTGCAGCTTTAAATTCTCTTTACTCTGACAGATGACAAAATGTGTCATTTTTACACAGCGCCATGATTGGCACTGTGTGAAGTGAGCTTCTCATCCACAACACACACACATAAAAATGACATTTTCTTTGTTTTGTCAGGCTGAATGAGGAGGTAACCCGCTGTGCTTTTTATTGTCACCCTTCCAACACACTAACGTGTGTCTCCTTTTATACACTGCTAACTTGGAAATATTCTGTGATAGACCTCCTGGATGTTTACTTGAATTAGATGAGACAGAACTGAGACTGCTTTTTCTCTTTATGTTGACAAATAAGCATTCGACATCCCCTGACAAAAATCTAAAGAAATACTGCCGTAGCTTTTTTAATATCATTTCAAATTCTCTGTGTGTGACTGTTGTTGCTCTCTGCAGATGAAAATGTCATCGCTTGTTCACACATAAGATTCAGTCACAACCAGCAATCCACAGACATGCCAACATTATTATGCACAAATTAATTTCAAGTCATATACGGAGAACTCTCTACTTTGCATTGAATCAGCTGCTGAAATGCAGAGAAATTCAGCAATCAATGGAAATCATTGATTTTTACTCTCTGCTGCTTTTAATATGTTGGCATTTGCAAAATTCCACTTCTCATTACATATAACGGTAATTTTTCTTTGGCTTTAATTAAACTAAAGTCAGTTTTAAGGAAGTATTTCCATAATTATCAGCTACTTACAAACAGCATACGTTTCATATCTTCTTAACGTTCTTTTGATGATGTTTTTAGTCAATAGAAGTTGACTAACAGATATCTAAAAGTATCTTTAAAACAAGTTTGAATGCAAAGAAATTGTAGAAGTAGCTGCAATAATTCCAGACTTTAGATTTGTGAGCAAGAAACTGAATATTTGCAACTGTTTTCAGCTTACAAAAGCAGACTGAAAACACGGCTTCTCAAGGCTTTACCATTCTTGCTTATAAATCAGTCTGAAAGTAAATGAAATATTAGTGTTATTCTCTTTTATTGCCTTTTTTTTCTTCAAACGTGCCATATTTTAGCACCACTTTAAATTCACATTTTCCATTCAGATTTCCATCCCTCCTGCCACGCCCTATGACAAACGACACGATTTATGTGAAATCTCCGTATCTGACCCAGTCCTTCCCTGAAGAACACTGATTATTGTGCACATGTTTTGTGTTGTGTTCTGTGTCTTTCAGTGAATCCGTGTTTTTCCTGATATGTATGTGTTTCTGTATGTGTTTGGCACCTGGGCGTATTGTTTGTCCGAATGGTGGCGTAGGTCAGCTGTTATTGTGCGTCTTTTTATGTGCGACATGCATACCGTGTTCTTGCTTTTTGCTGTTTTCTTTTTGTACTTTCTATCAAAGCACAGAAGCTCAATACCCATCAAGCTAGGCTTTTCAAGACTTGCAGCCCTCTTTTTACGTTTTTTTTACCCATATATAGAGTGATAAAACCAGCACGTACAGCAGGTATTTAGTCTGAAATGTGAAGGTGAGAAAGATTTCACAGTTTGTTGTAGACATTCACGTTCCAAATTGGAGTGATTGGAGATTGGAGGAGATGGGTAAGAATTTGTGTGTGTGTGTGTGTGATAATTTATTTTCTGCATCATTTACAGTACACTTAACATTTCCACTAAGTGTTTTGTGTTTCTGTCTCCAATACTGCAATTTTCATTAGCATACAAAAACACACACTCACACCAAGCTGTAATTGAATGCACCACGTAATCAAACACTACAGCCCACAAAGTGAAGCAAGTTTGGTAAGTTAAAAAGGATGTCAGTAAACATTTTGCCATGTCTTTGTTCAGCTGCCTGATTTCCCAGTTTAATAGGCATGTGTACTGGACTACACATGGATATTAAACAACACTGTTGGTTGTGTTGGAGACTAATAAAACAAGTGCTATAGTGGAGTCATGTTACTGGCATCCTGTAACTGTCTGTAACCATAGTAGATTTTAGCTGTTCATAGCACCAGTTAGCAACTGAAAGTGTTTGCATTCATTTTGGTTCTGATTGAGAAGAGAAAAGGCCCGCCAATTCACATCTAATTCTGGGGTAATTTTTTTAAAATTATTATTTCTTCTTTTTACTCTTTTTAACTGAAATGGAGACACCTCACAGCGGACACACCCATCAGACACAGTTTAAGCGAAGATTATTTGCTTTTGATGCTTTTGATTCATTTTCTCTACTGGATGCAGACCAAACTATCTCTCCTCCTTCCTGTCTTCCCCTCTACAGCACTTCATCCCATTCACATTACAGTGTTTCATACTTCTTGTGTGTGAGCATTAAAGTGGTTTTTACTGTCACATGTATAATATGTGAACATTTTCCTGTTTGATATAAAGTTAAATTACTGCACAGATCTTCGAGCTCTTTTAGATGCTTGCTGCACTCGTCCTACACTGTCACTGAATCTTTGTAATTATGTCTAGACACCACACAGCAAATGTGTCAGGCACCATAAATCGAGTGCAATTATTTCAAGAGGTTTCTACCCAGGTCTGATGTTAAAACTGTGAATTCCAGCTTTCAAAATGCTTCTGTATTCAAATCATCTTGAAGTCGTGCATTGTTACATTAAGCAGCAGTATGAATAGAGTCATCATAGTTGTCTATTGGCATAATAACCCAATTGTTTTCTCTTCCCACTGCTCTTAGACATCAGTGAACAAGACTGGAAGTGCAGGCTTGCAAACAGACCTTGATATAAACTAATAAAACTCTAGTATTGCATTGCTGTTATTTCGCTCTAATGTAAGTAAAAAACAAAAGTAAAACCAAACTTTGTTTGAATGTCTAATCAAAAGCTCCAACCCAGGAGGAACATCCCGCTGCGGTGATCAGTGGCTTTGGGTTGGATGTTTTGGTTGGTGAATTTGACAGAGGTTTGGATTTCATGTCAGACTCTTTAAGACTTGCTTTTTAAAGTTGCTGCTGACCTCTATGTGTCTTGACAGTTTTGCATGTTTTGCGTAACATGTTATGCTACAGCGAGTGCTGTTAAGCTTACTTTCAAGCCATAAGACTAGCGCTCTTTTTCAGTCTGTAATTTAAAATATTTTCAGCTGCTCAAGCACGCGCTTTTACTTTGAAAATTAGTGGTTATTGAGTATTATTTGTACTCACTGTCAGAAGATGACTCACTTGACTTCTTGACTTTGCCTGACATCTGACAAACACCTACTCATGCCAAGAGGATCAGGATCCTTTGACCTCAAGATTTTTAATTCCCCTTCATCTCCTCTTTACCTGTGTCCCTTTTCTTGTGCTACCATTTCTATTGGTGTGCGTCACGCATCAACCTCGTAACTCATTGGGCTCTTTCTCTCCTCTCTCTGTGTCTCTCCTTCTTTATGTGTGGTTCTTCCAATCCCTTGTCACGCGTCTGTTATTTTCCAAATGCACCTTCGCTTTGCTTTGACCATTGCCTTTACATGTATCCATTCCATCTGGTTATTTCTGTTTTTCGCTGTTGATGTTTTTCCCTTCAAATCATGTCCTTCTCTGGTGATTTTTCTCTTTTATCCTCTTTCCATCCTTATCTCACTGCTATTCCTTTCTCCCACACTTTCACACCTCTTCAACGTGTATTTTTTCCCTTTACATGTCTGCCTTGATTGGACATCTCCTATTGCAACTCCTCACATCCCTCCCATCTTTCATTGAATGGCCTCTCTCCTACGACCATTTCTCCCTGCTCCCACTCCTCTTTCCCCTCCCTTCTCTCTCTATCTCGCTAGGAGGACCAGCTTTCCTCCCTGGGTTCTGCAGACCCCGGTGTGAAAACTGAAGGTGGAGGGGGAGGTGGAGGAGGTGGAGCAGTAACCAACGATCAAGGCCTCAGAGTCTCTTCCTCGGGCATTTCCTCTGTCAGCTCGCCCCACAATGGAGTCCTCCCTCAAACTATAGATCCTCCCTCTCTACCCGCTCCTCATCAACATCCTAGTCAGAATGGAGAGCTCCGTGGCAGCCAAACATCTTCCCCAATGACAACCTCACAGACAACTGGAACTACAGCAGCAGCAACTACAGGCATAGCAGAAGAAGGGGGAGTAGGTCAAACACAGCACTGAGCCAAATCAGAGAGAGATGACCCAAAGGAAAACACCACCCCTGCCCTTTCCCCATTTAGCAAGACAGTTCTTTGAAAAGAAATCACCTTTTATGTTCTTATTGCCCAGGCAAGAGAGAGAAGAAAAGCAAGCAGGAGACGAGTAGTAATCATACAGCTACTGTACAGTGCTTAACACATTAACACACAACATAAAGGGCTCTTCAATGGACATTTGTTCTCTTGATGCTCACATGGAGCTTCAGATAGTATCAGTCTTGCAGGACAAGACAATGATACCTTACGTACTTTGAATCTGTCAAACAAAGCATTAACATGCATACCAAGATATGTGAATATGTGCTCCGTGCACTCATCGCCTGTCTTTGATTCCACTAGAAACAAACATGTAAGGATCAAGAACTATAGAATGTCTTGCACCCCAAAGACTTCATAGTAGCCATTAGCAAAGAAGTGCTAGAAGCTAGAAGCTAGCTTACAGTAACCCTTGACTCCCATGGATGTAGATGCATTAATATATCCTGAACACGCCAGGCTACAGTTTGTTTTAGTAGGAATGTGGCAGTGTGGTCTGGCTTTCATAGTGCCTTTGAGTGTTTTTCCAACAGGGTTTTACAATACAGTTAACAGACGGCGATCAAGTTGGCTTTGCAAGTAAGGGAAACAATATATGGGCCGAAAACAGAGATTCAAAGACACAAGATCAAGCATCATAGCGGTTTGAGTGATGAGAGACATTTCTGGGAACTTCTTTCTTCTTTTCAATCTAAGGGACGTCTTGTTTTTGGACTGAGCTCGTGCAGTTTTTCTCTTCTCAATCTCAGAACCGATTTGTGATAAACTGGTGCTAAACAGAAACAAATGGTGCCATTTTCCAAGTCAGCTGTCTGTGTCTGCCATAGCACTGCCTCTTTCATGGTTCACTCACTGTCTTTTCTCTCTCTCTCTTCTGCAGTTTGTCTTTGACAGGACTTTTTTTCCCCCTCCCAATATGTTCCGTGTGCGTCCGTCTTTGTTCTTTGTGCATCATGTTGTGTTATGCTTAAATGGGGGTGTTGGGGTTTCCATATCTGTTTTTGGGTTTTTTTGCACTCCTCCAATCTCTGATTTTAATCACATTTAATAAAAGCAGCTCCCAGGCTCAGAATTGATGGATCAACTATTGCACTTTTGCCTCCAAAGGCTATCTGTAGTTTACAACTAGCACTAGTAATTTTAATACGTTGAAAGACAGGGATGAATGAAGTGTATTCAGTGTTTGTTTGTTTTTCTTTCACTTAAATTATGTTGATTCTTTGTGTTTTTCTAGAAGATGATTATTTTGCTTATTTCAGACACAGCCTTTAATAATTTATCTTGCAATTTTCACCAAAACAAATAAATAGTAAAAACAGGTTTGTAGTTGGTTTGAGCATACACTACATTTTACCCCATTTTTACTTTCAAATTTGCCAAACACAAAGAGGATTTTGTTTCCTTACAAATATCTGTGAAAAGACCATTTCTAGGTTTGCTAAGCCTGCCGTTAAGTGCCTGGGATAGATGCATTGAGTATCCTTTGGCCAGTAGACTAGCTAGTCATCAACCAAATGCACCTTATAAAGCCTTGCGTAACACAATAAAATAAATTATATCCCTGATTCTACAAATTATTATATATTATATTATCTTATATATTACTGTGTGTAGTTTGCTTAACTTGAGGTTTCTTTTTTTAAATGAAAAGAGACCTGTTGTTGAAAACAAAGCAAAAAATAAAAATAAAAAATTTAGACAATTGTTTGATGTACTTTGCAAATGAACTCATGATTTGATTTCTCATGTGTCCAATGCTGAAAACACATCTTTGAAATGTTTGCAACATGTATCCATATTCCTTCATTTTGTCTATGAACTGTCTGCTGTAAGGTTTGTCTCGATGTGAATTTGTTTTTGTCTTTGTAGCCTCACACACCGGTGTCGCTCTGCAACAACTTGGCTTGTTTTAAAGTTCAAGAAGTGTTTCACATCAGCCATTTTTCACTTTAGACAGACCACAACATTTTTGTTTTTGCCGTGTCAAAGGTCAAAATGGCCTGCAGTGGTTAAGCTTAGATTAGACTTCTAATGATAGTGAATGTTGAACCACCAAATGTTTATAATGCTAGCAGTCTTATGCAGGGAAAGATTGTCTATTTAGGGCTACTTCTTTCTTGTGAATTTACTTGTGTGGTGAATGTTGGATTCAAAGCGGGCTAGGTTATGAACATCAGTGTCTTTTCTGAGACGTGATATGATCCGTGATTGAGAAATTAACATTGCTGTGAAAATACCTCAGTGACTCAGGTAAACAAGCAGTTGCCTCAGAGCTGAACACAAAAACTATAGAAAATAAAAAGAGACGAGTCCAGCTTTGGAAAGACTGCCACCATGCAGATACTCGGTCAATAGCTATGCTTTAATAGCACCTGATCAAGCACCCTCCCCCGTTTCTTCTCTCTCTCTGTCTCCCTTTTTTCCCCCCCAGCCACTCTCAAAGCTTCATCGAGGACAATGTGGAACCTAATTGGCTGATGCACCATCGGCAGTCTGCAGGGTGGCATGGCCAAATGTCCAGAGCCCTCTCTCGTGACGCGATTGGCTGACAAAGGGAGAACTTGGGGCACTGGTCCCATTCTCTTTGCTCAAAGGATGGTGCAGAGCCCCAGCGGACCATGTAAGGAAATGCTGGGTTTTTTTGGCTTTTTTGTTTTCACTTTACTGGGCCCTCTCTCTCTGATTTGATAACAGGATTTTTTTTAATATGTTTGATGCCTCATGGTTGGATCTACATTTGACTTACAAACAAAAGGTAGGCTGGACAGATATTGTTGTTGTCAGCCTGCCGAGCATGCAAAGAACAGCTATGCAGTCTGATCAATCAGCAGAACGGAGGAACACAAAAGCCAAGGAAGGCGCGATGCTCAAAGTGAGAGAGAGGGGTGGGTAAGATGTATTTCAAAGGTGCTTGACTTCTCTTAAAATTTTCAGTCCAAGCTGATTTGCTTTCATAGCATTTATTTGCCTCTCTCTCTCTATCTATCTCTCTTGTAGTCTTTTCAAATTACCCCTTGATTCCTCTTCATCTATTCACTCTTTATGCATCTAGGATTTTAAAAAGCATCATTTAACCACTTCAGTCTTACTTCGTTCTAGACACACTTGATCTTTTTCTCTCCTCGTAGTTTTTAGCTCTTCCGTTTGAATCTCGTTCAGCGTTTGATTTTAAAGGAACCTAAATATGCACAGCCTAATTCATAACGTAAAACCGCTTCTAAACAATACTCTTGCTTCAGTGAAGACTTTGAAAAGCCGGACAGAATGTTATTATTTATATTTCTATGATGAAACTGCTTATTCTTACAATTAAAGAAAAACTCTTCGTTTAAAATCTTCCGGAGGAGATATTTATTTCTTGATATAGATAGATGCCTCTATCTAATGGAAGTTCATAAATAACCCATTTTATATGAACCGAGTTTCTTACTGAGACAATCTTTTGGAAAGAAGAGTTGCCCCAAAAGACTGCAGCGAAAGGGATGAACTCGTGTTTCACCTACTCCCCTTACGACAGTTTGCACGTTGCTGACACCTGATCCCTCCTTGCTCTTGGTTATTATTGTTCAAAAGCGAAATAAAGTGGACAGATGTCGCCATGGAGCTCTCCATATACGGACGATGTGAAATTGATTGGATAAGGACATTCTTACAGCTATCGTTTTGTACTCCACTTCGACTACCTGTCTGTAGAGTTTTAACCAAGCAGAGGATGAACTCTTGGTTTCAGTGTGGCCACATTTCTGCAGTCAAATTGCTGTAAAACTCCCCGTTTTCTTTCTATGGATGGACTCCACTGACACCAATCTGAGTTGAAATCCCTGCCATTTCCACTTTTGACTGAAACGAGAGAGAGACATGTTAGAGGTCCTGCTGAAACGAGTGAATGTGTTTGTATATAAGTGTGTGTACTGGCTCAATCTTTGTGTATATACTGGATACATGTGTATATATGGTATGTCTATGTGTATATACAGTTTGTTTGTATATGCAGAGTGTACAGCTATTTTTTCCTCTAATGTTTCTCTCTCTTTCTATGAATAGGTCTTCTCAAGTTACCAATATTGAGGCATGGAAAGGTTTTTACATGTACCGACAGCTATCAGAGGCACTTTCTGTGCAGACTTAGAATATCAGCAAGGTCTGTCACTTCTAGCTGCATTCTTGAAGCTCTCATACAAGAAGTAACTCACGTAATATTAAGCTTGCACTCATTTTCTGACCAACTAAAAAAGCTTTTCTAAGTAGATTTGGGTGACCAAGCAATGTTTGTACATATATAGACTTAGACCTTTTTTGCCCCCCAGAAACCTCCATTTGCATTTCTTTAGGGGGCAGGGATAGCTCAGTAGGTAAAGTGGTCGCCCCATGATCGGAAGGTCGGCGGTTCGAATCCACTTAACGGCTACCCTGAGGTACCCCTGAGCAAGGTACCGTCCCTACACACTGCTCCCCTGGGCGCCTGCTTAGTGGGCTGCCCACTGCTTCACTGAGTGAATGGGTCAAATGCAGAGAACAACAAGTAATTTCCCCATGGGGATCAATAAAGTATCCATTATTATTATTATTATTTAAAAATTCTCAACCTGTTTTGAGTTCTTGCGTATCTGGCGTTCACTTATATGTTTGCAGCGGTTGTCATTCAGAGCTATATATTTATTCAGACAACCCTTATATATTTCTTGAAATTTTGTTCCCCAAATTCTGCTTCTCATGGAACCGTCTAACCTTTTTGTGCGGCTAGACTGGCAAACCCTTCCATGAAAGTCTACTGTCATTACTCACCATTGCTCGTTTTTGTATAGGTCCTTACTAAATAAGTGTGCCTCCTCCCCCTTATACTCTTACTAACCTTAGATCCGTTACCTCCGCTGATCGCTCATCTCCATTACCCTTTGACAAGCCATAGCCCCCACCCTCCCTGAAAGCTCCTCTATTGTTGTTATGACAGGACAGACATTTGGGGATTTTCTGTATATTAATGGAAGAGTGGTGTTGAAGAGTGTATTGCAGTTGTATATGGATTTGTTATGAATGTGGATATTCTGATCATTGAATTATTATTGTAATAATGATAATAATTATTGCCTCTTTGATTTTGTTGATTAATTCCTTTGATCCAGTTGATGAAGATGCCATTGTTCCTTTTTTCCTTTCTCTTTTTTTTTTTTTGGAATACACCGGAATTTATATTTTTCGGGTGGGTGATTCTGGAGATAGAAATACGTAAATAAATTAATAAATAAACAAATAATTAAATTCTTAACTTTGTGTGGAAATGTGTGTTCTACCTTTCTGGACCAACTCTGGATGATTTCAGAGAATGTAGAAAGTAGAAAACTTTTTTCTTTATTTGCATATCCAAAGTTTAATCAACCTTATTCCTCTTTTTTTTTTTTTCAAATGCACATGAACAAGAGTTTTTGGGCCTTTTTGTTACTCTGATGACTCAGACACACTGGAGCCAGATAGTATTAGGTATACAGTGAGTTACCATGCACAAATGTACGTTTTTGAGCCATACTGTAAAAATTGCATTAAACCTAAGTGGTACCTCTTGAGCTTTATAGTCAGGCCAATGCAAAAAGTTGTAATGTGAGTAAAAAAAAATTCAGGATACTGATAAAGCTTGTAGTTATTTGATTAACTGATGTGCTGGTACATGCAGCTTTAGCTCCTAGACCTCACATCTGCTAATTTAAGCAACTGAACTGGACTTTAAATACAGTCTATGCTTAAATCTCCTTTTTTTAATGGTCAGTAGGGGCAGTTCTCATGGTTGCAAAAAGTCTTGTTGTATGACTGTAGTAGAAAATGACCCTTCGCTTTTGATTTATGATGTCTGCAGACACTTTCCTGATGACTTTATGGTCTGGTATGCTAGTCTCAAGGCCAATTTAACGCTGTGTCATTTTATAAATTATGGTTTAATTCAAGAGGAAATATGTAATAGTGTCTTTTAACTAGTGTATGACTGACAAAGGGCTTACCTTCAAAATTCACTGCTGAGCATCAACCTATCGTTTATATACGATCTAGCAATAAATCTCGAGTCAGTCCCACTTACACCACCACCAACAATGTTTGATCATACACAGCTTGTAATATTTGACAGCCAACATATTATTAATATTATTAACATATAGTAGCAGTTTCCCACAGCCTATGTCAATAATTAATTAATTCCACATAAAAACTTCTGAATGAATGTAGTTTGTAAAAGAGAGAAGTCACACATTTACTCTCATTTATTTAATTAAAAAAACAAAAACATTATACTTGACAACCTCTTGTAAAAATACTGTACATTAAAGATAGAAGGGTGTGTTCAGTGTACATGTAAAACAAAGGAAGTTGGTGATCAGTTCACAGGAAGAATTTGGTTGCATCATAGTGTTCACACATGTGTGGGTGATTTAATCATCGTTTAAGGATTGTGAGTCTTCACTTGTGGTGGAGCAGATCATGCCCTCACACGCTCCTCAGACACGGTACTCAGAGTGAGGAGGGCAGGTAAGATTTGGGATCTGGGGATTCGACTGAATTTAGTAAGCTTGTAATTATCTTCATCCTCCTACACTTAATTGCCTGCAGTTCCTTCAGGGGTTTGCAACTTGTGACTTTGGACAGAAAGGAAGAAAAAGCACTTAAGCAGAGGGTTCATGATGTGTAAACTGAACAAACAGAGCGGAGAATTCCACCCCAACTTACCTGTAATTACTACTCTTGTAATTATTCTGCAGGCGACACTGAGAAATTAAAAAAACAAACAAAAAAAACCCATGTGCTTGCAATAACTGTTCAAAATCTGTGTTTTTGAGAGACAGTTGGCTCTCTGTCACATTTCCACAGTAGGCAGATACATAAAAACTTAAAATTATGGAAATGTTTTATAGATGTGTACAATAATCCATGAGCTTTATAGTCCTCTAGTGGCATCTACCTGAAATTACAAGAACAGAGGTGCATTCTAGTCTATTAATAAACCCAGTTTTTAAGCAGCATTTTTGATCAACATGGTGTAAGGATCAAAACATAAATTGTATGTAAATATTGTAGGTATTAGTGCCAATATGGGACAAAAACAAACATGAGGTTTTGCATATATATATATATATATATAACATGACCTGTAATCCTGTAACCCATGCAGCGACGTAATTCCTAAATTGCCTAAAGGCATTTCATTTTTTTCTGGTAATGGAAATTACCAAACTGTCCTATAATAATCAGAGTGGAAGATAGATCACATTGTCCTATGACCACACACTTCTGAGCGTATTCATAAAAACTGTGTGTGTAGTCTGTGTTGTGGTTTCAGATGATTTTTGTATTTTAGTGATTACATGTTACAGTTTTTATTCAATCGATTTGGCACAATTCTCACAGCAGAAAGGTCTTTCCCACCACTCAGAACAGTTAGGGCATTTTTCATAACACGGACTCACCTGTGCAAAATACACTCCAACAATCAAAAACATTTTCACATTTGTCAGAACACGAATAATCAGCCAATCACTTCAGCTCTAATGAATGAATTAAAACGTTTCAGAAACAAAAATGAAATGTAAAGTGTGTGTTTTTTTTTGTTTTTTTTTACAAAACTGATGAAATGAAGAAACGCATCAGAAAAAAATACAGTCTGAGAACATAGGACCAATTACTGTTTAGTCCAGTGAAGTCACGCTATACATTCAGCAACCACTTTATTAGGTACGTCTGTTTCACTGCCCATCACAGTAACCCAAATATCTAATCAGCCTTTCACATCAGCAGCAACTCAAATCATTTAGACATGCAGACATGGTCAAGACAGCCTGTCAAGTTTGAACAAGTTCAAGAGGACTGAACGTGGCATGGTTCTTGATGTCAGATGGGCTGGTGTGAGTATTTCAGACATTGTTGATGTACTGGGATTTTCCAGCATGGCCATTTTCAGGGCTTACAGCTGATAAGAAGGTAACAGTAACTCAAATAACCACTAGTTACAAACAAGCTATGCAGAAGAGCATCTCTGAAAGCAAAACACATCCAACCTTGAAGCAGATGGACTACATGCGGCAGCTAAGAACAGGGAACTGAGGCTACGTTTTGCACAGACTCATCAAAATTAGACAACAGAAGATCGAAAAACGCGGTACTCAGATGGCGTCGAGTCACCAGATCTCAGTGCAGCAGAGCATCATTGGGATGAAATTTGGATAAGCAGCTGTGACACAAGACTGAAGGTATGTATATCTATTTGTTGCTAGTAAACCACTGAGAGTGTGTTACTGTATTTGGTCTTTCAGAAATATTTGAAAAAAGTTTGAAGTCATTTGGTTGAAAACGTTAATGCAATGCTGGGCAATTGAGACTCAATGTTAATAATCAATATAAAGACTCAAAAGGGGTTTTGTTTTTTTCAGAGCAGAAAAACGAATTAATACATTTTTGTACTTTAGACAGACTATACTTTAGTATCCAGTCCCTAAATATAAAAATATTTAGGGACTGGATACCCTGGATACCCTGTGTGCCCTTGTTGAAATTAAACTCTACAAGTGAATGAAAAAATATATATATTAAATTTAGATGTGCCAAAGTTATCTGTGTATTACCAGGAAACATCCTCACAGGTGGCTACACAAACAAAAAAACTTGAGCTTCTTTTTTTTATATGTTTTTATAATTAATTTTTTTTCTGACTTCTCACGTGAAGTGTCTGACTCTGTTCTGTATTACACAATTTATATGTAAAAAAAAATAAAAGGTATTCTTCAGTTTACAAAAACAATCGGAAATCCCTTACAGAGGGTAGTAGGAACGTGGCTCCAATAGTATGAATCAGATGAATCAATCAGATGTTATCTTCAGTGTTTTCTGGCTGTACAGTGTTTGTTTGAAGTGTAAATGCATCTTATTCCTAAACTGCATAATATGTTTTTCTTTCTTTCTTTTGGAACTCCTGATTTTCTTAAAGGGAGGGTTTGTAGACTATCTGGCAACTCTTTTCCGTAATCTCGTGAGTATGTTGCGTGCTCTCGCGGTATTCAGGCGGTCAATGCCTGATAGGAATAATGGCTGCCTTCGTAGCAATGGCTGGAATGGGGAACGACACAAGCGGCATACCGGAGCGTTTTAGCTGACCAGGAACAGCGTAAATTACTGGGCACCCCCTTCTACCCGGTTTTCAGAACGGATGGGTAGAGGGGGTTTTGCCAAAGGACAAAAGAAACGAAAGAGACTCGGAGGGAAGAGGAGGGACGCTAACGCTGCCTTTATAGCTAGCACTAGCTGGCTAGTTGTCGCTGCCGGGGAAGAAGTCCGCGGAGTCGTGACAGCCGTGCGTCGGAACGGGTGAAGGAAACAGGAGTTGAACGCTGGAGCGTGTGATCAAACATCTGGCTAAGCGCTAATATGAGCGGACCCGGACAGGACAGTGAGCCAGAGGCCAAAGTCCTTCTCATCAAGCGACTCTACAGGTACCTTGACGAGGCCGTTTTTGCCAAAGCTAACCGAGGTGCTAATTGAATGTTAATTGAGCTGGCTAGCTTAGCAATAGTCAGACAGTACTTGCTACTACTAGAGAAAGCCCAGCTATCCTCTAACTTATCACCACAGTGAGTAAACCAGCACTCCCGTATACCTTTTCTTTGTAGCATCAGCTAAATTTGATGGGAAGCGCTTCATTCTCTTCAACTTGTCTTGGCTAATGAGCACGGTAGCATTTGTCATCCGTGTCTTTGTTACAGAGAAGTGAAACAGAAAGGTCTCGGGCTGTTAACCCGACTGCTTGCAATGTTTATTCCGACGTTTGTTCTGTTTCCACCTGACGCTTATTTTGTGGCAATTTGGCTAACAGCGTTGTCATCGTGCTGATGCTATGTGTTGCCTAACATGCCGACAGGGCTGTGGTGGAGACTGTGCACAAGCTAGATGTCATCATCGGCAGCAAATCGTCCTACAGAGAAGTCTTCAAGCCGGAGAACATCAGCCTTCGCAACAAGTAAGTACGAGTGTCTCGGGAGCTTGTGTGAAGGCGGCTGTAATTTGACTTAAACCTCACTGCCTGCATGCAGTCTCAGTCCTGACTAGTCTTGCTAGCTGTCAGGTGTGTATTGAGGCTCTGTCATGCCTGACATGCGGTAAATGCAGCATCTCAGTGAGCATACATTTCCTAGTTTCTAAATTTAGTTCAGATGTTTATTTTCTAATATTTCCAGCATGACCATCTGCAAACACTGACTGTGGCTTTATCTCAAAGTCTAAGCTGGAGTTGTTGTTTTTTTTTTAGTTTAGTTTGATTTTTGTTTTTTTTCCTTGTCCAGACAAAGATGAAAAGCAAGCCTCACTGGTCATGCAGCTTGAGCAGGACTATGGTTGTTATTTGTATACTGGATGTTGTGGGCAGAAAGCTCAAAACCAATAAGAGGAAGTTGGAAAGTTATCTGAGGAGGCGGAATAATGATGGGTGTCTAAACAGTCAGCAAGATAAGGGAAATGTTATCTCATCCTGCTCTGATTGCTCTGGGAGTTTTGTCAAGCTATAACTAGACAGGCCTAGAGGACTACCAGTGAAGCCAGTAAACAAACCAGTAAATTAGTTGGACTATAAAATCAACCAGGCGCTATTTTAATAATTGATTCAAGTGGAATTTTATTCATTCTGCTTTTGCTATCTGTCAAATTTGGTACCTGTTCCATGTTTAAACCTTCTGTTGCGACACAGGCTTTAAAAGGAGAGGGGCAAAAACTGCTGGTTTCAAACAGTGAATGAAATGAGGGACTTCACCAAAGCCCAGTTAACAAGTGTACTGTTAATCATGCAAAGCTACTCTTGAATAGGGATGGGAATTGATTTGCAATTCCAATTTCATTATCAATATCACTTATCAGTTCGATTCCTTACCAGTTCTCTTGTCGATTCTCATTGGCTCCACTTTGGAAGTAACCAGCTTTTCTAAGCAGCATATCAAAGACAGCACATTCTGCAAATTAATTGCATGCTGTGGGTCAAATGTTTGTGCTTGTTGGAGGTATCCCCCCTCTTTGTTGTGATCAGTATCAGGGTTGTTACTCCAAAAAAGTGATGTATTCCACATGTTACAGAACATTTTCTTAACAGTAATGATGCATACTACTCATTACATTACTTTCATGTTTTTCGGTAAAATGACCTGAAACCCATTGCCTAATAGTTACTGTTTAACAATGTAAACCTTAGACCACAGTCCCAAACACAAACAAAAACCCCTGTCCTAATGAGGACACATTTATGATTTTTTTTCTCTTAGTATTTAGGTAAGAACACAAAGCTGACATTAAGAGACTTCAGAGTTATTGCCACAGTGATTCTATTTTAGAAACATAAACCGATAGGGACGGAGTCTGCATCATGACATCTTATTGGTTTGTTACCTGTTGAAGTTCAGGGTCTGGCTTTGGGCTGTGCGATATAACGATATATATCGGATAACGACATAAAAACGTCTATCGTTTGTTTCACGGTGTCGCAAAATAAACAGTTTACGGCAATATTTTTCATCGTTTTGATGGTCACTGTAGTGGCTATATTAATTTCTTAAAGTTCTCTTTCTCTTATATAACCACACGACTGACAGACAAGCGTCTGTTTTTATGCGTTGTCATTAGCAACAACGACGGTAAAACCATCGTGTGTCCACTTGTTTATTTTCCACATAAACCTTTCACAATAAAGCTCAAGATCTTGTTGAGACTTTTCAAAATAAACGGAATCACGTGAAAGAGTATGCAGAGTATTTACAGATGAGAAGCAAAAAAGAGCCGTCAGGTGCTAAAAAATAAACCTTAGACTCAAACGATAGAACAGGCTTTTTGCCGCAGCACACTGTGTAATAAATACTCACAAAGAAAACGGCGGCTGTTACAACTTATGTCTAAAAATTGGAAACACTTCACGCAAGTCGAGCTGCCCGAGATTCACAGAATTTACAGAAAATGTTAAATTTTTGTGATTTATATCGTTATCGGAACGATAGATGTCTTATATCGGGATATGAGATTTTGGTCATATCAAATGTTGTGCATGCAGTTTGCACTTTACTGTTGCACTCTCGTCCTTTGTGCAATAATATTAAAGGTAAGGTCCATATCCACACTGCAGGCTGCGCCACAGTTCCTGAAATCAGCTGATTGATAGACAATGAGATTAACGATTCCAAGGAATTAAACTACTGGGAATGGTTCTCGAATTTCATACCTACTCTTGAAGACACGAGAATCAAAATATGGAAGAATGTGACTGGTACCGAACAATGCTGTACTTTTAAGGTATAGATGGACATTTGTACTGCTATACTAAGCAGTTTGTTTATACCTAAAGAACAAACAAACACTGCTGCGTCAATTAGTTTCAGAAAATGATTAGAAAGGATAAAATGACTTCTTTTTTTTTTTCAGTACAAGTTTCTAACGTGGCAGGTAACATCTTCCAGTGTTATTCTTTGTCTGACCTTAACCCAAACATTGCTTTCAGTTTACTGTCAAAGAAGACAACATAAATCAGAACATGTTCATATTTAAGAACCTAAATTCACAAGTAATTTATTCATGAGACTTTCTGTCCAGCAATTTGTCATTGGTAGCATTAGCTCATGTTGATGTTCTTTTCTGATGTTAAAGTGTATGAAAAACCAAGCACTGATAAACATCTTTATAAAATGAGAGAAATGCAGCATGTACTTGCCTAAAGTATTAACATAATTGTGTCATTTGCCGCACACAAGATCTGAGATTTCACAAAATTCTTGTGAACAACTTCTGAATCAGACCCAATGAGTCACACAAGTCACTTCTGATATTTTGTTTGTGTTTTTTCCCTGTAGGACACGTACTGTCGTGTTAATACAATGGGCCTCCAACCAGTCAGAAACCTCAAGGCTTGTTTCTGACTTTGGGATAAAACCGAAATATGCAGTCCAATAGGAATGCTGAGGTCACAGATGTTATGTTCAGCTGTCCAACTGTACTTCATTATACACATGTTTCTGTTATTCAGCTTCCTCTTATTACATGTGGTGCATGAAATGATAGAAACACTTATTAGAGTAACAGAATTACAAGCTACAGCCTCCTTAATGACCATGCAGATGCAACATTGAGGTTGATTTAATCCCATACTAAAACAGTTTCCACAAATAAATTTCACAAAGGTTGGTTTTATTTAAATGCATTTTATCTGGCTGGCAGCTGGATGTATGTAAAATTTCATTGTCATCAAGAAAAAACATATTTTAGACAAGCAGCAGATTTTCTTGCTTGTGGGGATCTCAAATTTATAAAGTTGCATTAAGTACTTGCTTAATGCAATTAAGTCATTACTGCAGGGGCTTGGGTTTGAGTTTGGTCTGACCAGTTGTTGCAATTCATTCTCCCTCACTCTCTTCCTACTTTCCTGCCTACTATTTGCACTCATCTGTCAAGAAAAGTCTAAATATGCTCAAAAATGAAAGCAGCTCAATGTTATTAAGCTGCTGCACGACAAGGTTGTCAATATGCAGTCATTTCTGTCCTTGATGGGCCCTACACTTCATGTGAAATTAAAGCCGTTTTCACACGTGCAGTTGTCTAGGTGCTACCCAACACAGATGGATGTGAGATTTCAAATGTGACAGTTGAAACGGTCAATAATCTGTCAGCTTTTTATTACAACTTTTGGCATAGTGTCCAGTTTTTTTTTTGTTTTTTTTTTGTGAATAGAGCAGGTAGTAATCTGGCAAATTCACAGCTAGTGAGCAGCTTTCCTGCCTTCTGCATGCTCCACTGAGGCTGCACTCTCACCTCAGGAGATCACATTTACAATAGTCTCACTTACTGTGGATTAAATGTACGGAAGTACTACTCTGACCAGTGTCTGAACCTGATGCACCCAACAGTGGTCCAGAACTTGTGTGAAAACACTTAAATAATTGGTCCTTTAACCCAGCTGTCTTCTCATTGCACATGTGCATCTTTTTTTCTGTTTTCAGGCTGAGGGAACTTTGTGTGAAACTGATGTTTCTGCATCCAGTGGACTATGGCCGCAAGGCCGAGGAGCTGCTGTGGAGAAAGGTTTACTATGAAGTCATTCAGGTTATCAAGACCAACAAGAAGGTAAATGTCCCTGCAGCTGTGGAAAAATGGCCTTGCTGCATATATTAAACTGACCGCATTTGTTTTCTGTTGCTACCTGGCTAATCCAGCTTTTACTTAAAAGGTGAACTCTCCAATTTATTTTATATTCATGCCAGTGACCACAAAAGCGTTTAGGAGAATAATAATTTCACAATAAGCATTCATTTTCAGCAGTCCAGTCTGCAACTTTATTGTTTTGGTTCATTGTCATAGCACTATAAAACTGCAGACATGGTGACTACACGAAATAAATGCTATATTTATAGTGTCAATACTTGAATTAGTTTGTGGTGATGAAATCTTGGTGTCATGTTCACAGCCAATTTCAGCTTTTAAACCTGCGTACCCTTTATTGCAGGTTAACGCTGGTTTAATATGAGCATCGTTGGATTATAAAACATTTATTTTATACATTTAAAATCTTCTTGAAACTCAACTTTATAACAACACGACACAGTTGCCAGTTGTAATCTTGTCTATTTTACATTAGTTATATTTTCTTTTTTAAGTTGCCTGTTATTTTGATGCAGATCACCCTCATTGGTGTACTGTTCCTTTCTCTAAAGTCCTCACTTCTCTTTTGATTTGGGTTTTCTTTCACTGCAGCACATCCACAGTCGCAGTGCTCTGGAGTGTGCCTACAGAACTCACCTGATAGCCGGCGTGGGTTTCTACCAACACCTGCTGCTCTACATCCAGTCACATTACCAGCTGGAGCTGCAGGATTGCATTGACTGGACCCACGTGACAGATCCACTGATAGGTTAGATGAGCCAGCACATTCTCACACTCTCAGATGAAGGCATAAAAATAAAATGAATTGTCTTTCTGTTTCAGGATCCTTAAACCACCCTTGAATAAAACTGAGTTATTTGTAACAACAACACTTCTTTTAAAGTGTAAATGTCTGCTGTAGACAGTATAGCTGGTGTCCTTGTGGAAAAACTTGAAACTTGATGAAGATAGTTGAAACTTTATTGATAGTTAATCTATGTAATACATTACCTGTACTAGAAACTAGAAACTCTGACCTCATTTGCTACTGATATTTAAATGCAGTTTAGACTCACTGAACAAATAATCAGTAGTGAAGGTAAGGACTCCTGACTACTCTACTGTCAAAAACGAAGACTAAAAAGCCCAAGACAGAAATCGTAAAGACTAATCACATTAAATATTCATGATTATGGATAATCATTAATATAGGTTTTTGGGGTTTTTTGTTACTGTAATTGTACAGTCCTGTTGTCAGGGAAATACAGCCAGAGAGGTTTTATGTTCCTGCAAGGTGATGGTTTATAGTCTGTTCTGTAAAAGTACTTGTTTTTGACTCTAAGATATTTCTTATTTTTGTGAAAAAACACTGCAAAGATGCCACAACCCAGCCCCTGGCTACCGAGTAAATCACCTCTTCTTATCCAACTTAAACAAAACTAGTTTTGAATGTTAACGTTAGAGATGCTTCAAGAGTATCTGGTCCCGGCTCTTTTATTTGGACTCTGTGCTACCCTGTTGCTGTGTTGGAATTTAAGCTTGCTGTGTTGTTACATAAGTCAAAGTCATTTTGGATAAAAGGATTGGATGGATTTAAAAAAAAAAAAGTGTTGTGTAATTGTTCCCAACAGGGCGAAAGAAACCAGTGTCAGCCACCCCCAAGGAGATGGAGTGGGCACAGATGGCCTGTCATCGCTGTCTGGTCTACCTTGGAGATCTAGGTAATAATAAGATAATAGAATATGTAATTAATTCAACTATCTGTCGGGCTTGCAGAGGTGTGAGACAGAACAAGTGTCATTCAGCGTGGGAAAATTTGACTCGGTTATATAGTATAGCTGGCTGAAGGCTGTTTGCTTGGTTTAGACTTATGTGAACCACAGGTATGGGTCAAAAATGTCTGCACCACTTAACCTTTGACTCCTGCAGTGAGAACATATGACCTATTTCCCTTCAAAATTACTGATTAACTTTAAAGCACATTAAATATATTGGACTAAAACCTAAAACCTGTAAAAATTGTAAATTAAGAAATTCATACTGGATGACCAGTGATCCATGATTCTATTAGAGGCACTGTTTTCAAGCTGTTTGGTTTATGATAGTCCAGCATCCTTGTAAGACTGTGAGAATGCTGTAGCATTAAAATGAAGGATGTTTCACTTTGTAGCTGTTTTTGTTTGTTTTTTTTCTCATGTTTGTCTGAAGCCATTCCAGGTCTTTGTGTTTGTGCACATTTCTGAAATAATCAATTTCAGTCTTCACCTTTTCAGCCACAATGCTGTAATCATATAGATTTGCATTTTTTTTTCTTACTTTAACTGTGATGTTTAAAATCATTTTCTCCTCAGCGCGCTACCAAAACGAGCTTGCAGGAGTGGAGGCTGAGCAGCTGGCGGAGAGGTTTTACCATCAGGCATTGTCAGTTATGCCACACGTAGGTGAGTGATGAGAATGTAGGGTTTGGTTTGTTTGTTTTTTCAAACAGTACTGTATTGCCATACCCGTGGTCTTACACAGCATGGAAGGGACGTGGGGTGATTTAAAAGTTTTATTTTTCTTGCCAGAACAACACAGATGTTAAATCCAGTTTAGTGTTGTTGTTGTTTTGGTTTGGTTGTTTGTTTTTCTTTTTTATATTGTAAGTATAGAATTGTGAAATGTGCTTACTCGCTTTCGCAGAAGGTCAATACACTTTTGTGTGTTTATTGTCAAAATGGAGCGCATAAACACCTTTTTAGTTAAAATGGGAAGCTTAGCATTGTGCATCGGCTGAACATTTTCCTGCTTTGTTTTTGTTTGTTTAAAGGCCTGTAGATAAACTGATTTAACTGGATTCTTTATGTACACAACAACAATTATAAACTTACTGATACTACTAATACAAAAAGAACCATTAAGTTCATTCAGGAAAATAAGATTTGTGGTCAGTATACTTGTGAGAACAACTGTTAATTGTTGTTTCTTGTAGTTGACAAACAATAAGACATCTGTAAATATCACTTACTTGCTATGAACATGTCCTCCCACCACCTCTCTATATAGACATTGTTCACATTAAATGCAGCTGTATTCATACTTTATAGGGTTGAAAGATATTGGGATATTTCATAAAAACCTACATACGCTTGTTCTTTTCAAATGATTTTTTGGGTTATATTACAATATTATTTGAGAAACTTACAATTTATTTTTTTAACAAATGTAGCATTACCCCATGGTTTTCTGGGTACTAACTCAAAAATAAATGCTGACTTGGTTTGTGTTGGTTATCTGCCAACAGGAATGCCTTTTAACCAACTGGGCACACTGGCAGGGAGCAAGTTCTACAATGTTGAAGCAACTTACTACTACCTACGCTGGTGAGCCATGTTTATATACGTTTGCAGTGTTTTTAACTTCTCTCGTATAGTTGTAAGTCTTAACAGATGTAATCTGTGCTCAGCATTCAATCAGATGCCCCCTTTGAGGGCGCCTACGGCAACCTGAAGCGCCTGTTTGACAAAGCTGCCAAGATGTATCATCAAGTAAAGAAACAGGAAATGAAGAAGTTGTCTCCCTCTCGACAAAGGTGATGCACATTCACGGGCTACCTTTTAAAGCTGGGTTACAACAAAGCTAGTCAGTCACACTTCATGCAGTGTTTTACACACTATTTAAGGGTCATTGTGGTCTATGAAGTGTGTTATTACTGTGGTAGTACTAAACATTTTCCCTCTGGAATTTGTCAATTTTGGTAAATTTACTTTTCTTGGTTGGAATTTTTCCTCTTTCTGTGTGTGTGTGTGTTTGTGTTGTGTGTGTGTGTGTGTGTGTGTGTGTTTGTGTTATTAATGGCCTTCACTGGCTTGCTTACAATGTATCTATAGTAAAACATGTTGACTTCAGTCTGCTTACATCAGAGTAATTTAAATCCAGTCCCAGTTGACTACTGGGGCTTCACTTAATTAACAGCTTATGTGCACTCTGTCTCAATCACGTATGCGCTCTAACCACTGGTGAAATAAAGCAGCATCTCCCTCCAGATGATATTAAATGATTGATGATTCCACTGGGTAAATTAGATTGTTGAAGAAACAAAAGTAACAGGCATCAGTTGGAATAAAAGACAAATATAGACAAAATGAACAATGTTTTAAAATGAGTAGGTGGGGGGTAGTAAGAGGGGAAACAAGATTAAGATTGTTTTCCCACCTGGACAGAGAACAATGTTGTTCTTATTCCATGTACATAAATGACCAGTAAGCAGCTTGTACTATATTAAATCCCTCTGTGTTTTCACATAAGAGTCAAAATCTAAAAAGCGTGGAGCTGAATATATTGTGAACAGGTGTTGTTAATGACATTGCTGGAAGTTTGTATTCAAGATTCTTTATTCGTCACATGCACAGTTATACAAGTATAACACGCAGTGAAATGTAACCTGACACGCTCCTCGACTTGTGCAAAAGGGGGAGAGAAGAATATTATATATTATATACATTAGGTGAATGTGCAGTAGTAGCATGTAAGCAGCAAGCAGGAGAATTCTGTACATTAAGTGAATTAAATAAGAATAGACAATATGAACATTTTACAAAATAAACAATATGACCATATTTAAAATTAAACAAAGTATGTATGTTCTCTTCCATGTTCCTGTTTTTGCTGAGGTCATAGGTCAGATGTTTCTAAAACCACTGATGTTTTCATTTTAAAATGCTTTTATTTCATTTTATTTTTCTTTATCAAAACATAGAAGTAGTAAATGGATCTTTTATTGTGTTTAATACTCTGTAGTTGATCATTTTTGCTGTGGCCTTTTTTGCAGGTCGAAAGACATTAAGCGGCTCCTGGTGAGCTTCATGTATCTGCAGAGCCTGCTGCAGCCCAAGAACAGGTTTGTGTTTGTGTTGTGACTCTGCACCCACACTGTTTTAGAATCAAAGTCCACAGTGGAAATAAATCATTTGGTTTTGTGTATTTTAATGCTTAACCAGTTTATCTTTCAGTTTATGCCAGATAAAGGCTTTTTACATTCATATGTAGTAAATATTTAACAAATCTGTTTATAGCGTCTTCCCTCTGACGTGGTAGTCAAGTTAAATATTTAACATTCTAAAGTTTGAAAACAGATCTGTTGGATTCCAGGCTAAGAGTAAAATGTAGTTGTAGGATTACTGCAGGGTCTGTCTGGGCCAGGTCTAAAATTAAAATAAAGGAAAAAAAGATTTTAAATTTGCTTTTATTTCTAGTAAATTTAGGTAATTAAGTGGCATGTTTAAGACTGGTCAAACAAAACGCAAACAAACTATTTTAAAAATCACCTTTTAAAAGTTTGAGTTCTTGTCACTTGTTGTTGTTCCACTATGAGTGGTCAGATAGTTTTGCTTAGGAAGGAATTTACTGAAATGACCTGGAAGTATCTGTGTAGTGGTCGTAATCAGAGCTGTTCAGATTTTCTAAGTGCTAAGAAAAGGAGCTTCAGCCTTTTATAGCAGAGCATGCTCTGAACCATCCAATATGAAAGGAAAGGAGGCAACCACCCCATAGTTCATAGTGATGTGCCACCCAACTGTTCTTGGAAATGGTCAACAAAAGTGTGGCACAGATCATTTAAATGTCAAATATAAGTGTGTTTTCCATTTCATGCTGTAATCTGTTGATATGTTTTGAGAAACTATAGGCTGTTACACCCAGAGTGGAACTATGAATATTATATTACTGTAATAAAATCTTCTTCTTGAGGTGTTTGTTTTCTTAGAGACTGTATATTTGCATAAAAGCTACTTTTGATTGCAAATGTATGTACACAAAGTACAACCAGTGTCCACAACTATATTTTCACATACCATCAATGTTATCCTTGGAAGTTTTAAATTGTTGAAGTGCATTTACCGTGTTTCTACAGTAAGTCTTTATTTTGTGTGGTTTATGTAGCCTGATGGAAACGGAGCTGACTTCACTCTGCCAGTCGGTGCTGGAAGACTTCAACTTGGTGATGTTCTACCTGCCACCGCCAACACATGGCGGTGCTCACCACACCCCTAGCGAGGAAGAGGAGGAGCAGCAGCAGCACAGTGACAGCTCCTATCCTGTGCTGCCTGACAACCTAATCTTCAAAATGGTGGTCACATGTCTGATGGTAGTGCACAGCCTTAAGAGAGGAGGTAGGTGGTTGTGTAATTTAAGCTGTTCTAAGGAATTCATTTGTTCATTCATTTTTCATTACGTCACCACAAGTGAACAAAAAGTTTTCAGTACGTCCTCTATGAATCAGAGCACGTGTGATGTGTTCGCTCCCAAAATGAAATTTCGACCCTGAGCCTTTGTTGTCAAAACAGACCATTTTCAATTTGTTTTAGTTATTAAAGCACTGAATTACTTGGAACTTTAGAGGTATAGAAGTAAATCTTTCTTGTGTTTATTTAAGTGTTTCTGTGTATTTTGTCCTTAGGTTCAAAGCAGTACAGTGCATCCATAGCATTCACTCTGGCCCTCTTCTCCCACCTTGTAAACCACGTCAACATCCGGCTTCAGGCTGAACTGGAAGAAGCAGAGAGTCAGGTGCCTCCACTTCAGACTGACGCTGCAGGTGAAAGAGAAATGTATTCTTTTCCTGTATGTTGGGAAAAAGGCATAAAAATGCACCTGCAAGCTATTTCTTAGCTATTAAAAACCATCATAAACCAGCACAGTATCAAGAACTGTTGGCTATATGAGTATGTGGACTTTTTAAGATTCATTGGAGACTGTGTCGATATATGATGATGTGTTACTTAACCTGACTCTTTAAAACCATACCAGGGTTTGCATCCTTGTACTCTCCTTGTTGCTTGTGCGCACACCCCGTTCCAACAATGAATGTTGGGTATAACTTTAATGGAGCTCATTGGCACTATTCAGCCTTTTTAATGTTGAGAGTCTAAACTAAAAAACCTAAATAAGGACAGCATTATGGAGAATTTGCCCATGTTAACAGACACAGTATATGTCAGCACAAAGTAGGACAGAAACAAACAGTTATAAAGTGATGAAAACTACTGACACTATGCACATAACAGAACTCCAAGAAAAGGAAGGAAGTCGTGTCTTTGCATCTTATTTTAATCACACGCTATAAATAAAGAAGGTGCTAACAGATATCCTGCCCTAATGCCTAAGACATTGTCTTAGTTTTTATTTATAATGGTAAACCCTTACACCCCTCAGCCATAAAAGGCAGATGGAGAAGTTTCAAAATGATACTGAACATACTGTTTAGTGAAATATATAGTTGAAAGTAATTCTTTTTTTCCAGAGAAACATCCTCAAAGAACTTGAATGAAATTAAGATGCAGTTTTTATCTCTATCTAGACGATCTGGACATGAAGGATCTGACAGCTGCACCGACAGATCCCTCTGGTGAAAGGCCTTTGCAAAATGGTTCCCTGGAGCAAGAGGATGAGGAGGATAAGGATGAAGATGGCTCTGAAAGGGTTGCAGCCAACAAGCACAGCAGCATAGAAGAACAACGCAAGATGAACGAAGAGAAGCAGAGGCAGAAGAAGAAGTACAGCCGCCTTTCTCGACTCCGCCGTCGCCGCTGTGCTCGCAAAGACGGTCACGGAGAGGATGAAAGTGACTTGAGCGAAGGCTTCGAGAGTGAAGAAGAAGAAGATGACGATGAAGAAAGAGGGGTCCGTGCTGATTCAACAGGTGGGACCACAACAGGAACGCCAGTCAACTCGTCATCTGTGAAGAAGGAGCCCAAGAGAGATGCCTTGGGCGAGGAGGGCAGCTGGGGAAGCGGCTCTGAGGAGGAGGAGGAAGGAGGAACAGCATTTGATGTAGAAACTGATTCAGACATGAACAGTCAAGAGTCTCGCTCAGACCTAGAAGACATAGAGGACACGGAAAACTCAGAGGGTCACGCCCGGGAGCACCAGGATGATGAAGATGAGGACCAACCAAAGGAAGACGCAGGAGAGAGGGATACCACCGACACCCCTCCGACCACCAATGGGCCTCTCATGTCCAGTGACTCCAGCATTAGCAGTAACCTGCAGGCCATGTCTTCTCAGCTCTTCCAGGCTAAGAGATGCTTTCGCCTGGCGCCAACATTCAGTAACATGCTTTTAAGGCCTCATGCTTCGTCTTCCCCGAGTATTCCAACCCCTACTGACAGCTCAGCTCCCCCCTCCCAAGAGACTCCTCCTCCTCCTCCTCCTCCTCCTGGAGATTCCCCCTGTGAAATGAACCCTGGTACTGCCAATGGAACCAGTGAAAATGGTAATGTTTAACATTAGTTTTATATAAAACATAAAATCAGTGTTCCCTTTATGATGCTCAGTCATCTGATCACAGAGGGTTCACAGTGTTCTAATCAAGCTTGTCTTTTGGCTCATTTTTCCTAATTCACCAGACTTGGACTCTGATTCGGAAGGAAGTCAACACAGCACTGAGTCAGTACATAGTGAAAAAACCCTCTTAGAGAAACTGGAGATTATGACCAATCAGGGGTTAATCCAGGTTGTTAAGGTGTTTCTTGACTGGCTACGGACAAATACCGATATTATCCTCATGTGTGCGCAGGTGAGGTGACAGATTTTTCCTGCTTTGTTTACGAAATGCTGGCTTTTCAGGATTGTATTTCACAAACTGATCATCTGTGTTCTCTGCAGAGTTCCCAAAGCCTGTGGAACCGACTGTCTGTGCTGCTGAACCTGCTACCAGATGGCAGCAAGCTGCTCGAGGCTGGTGAGTTACTGCACTGCACAGAGATTTCTGCTTGTCTCAACGGCAGTCAGGTTCTGGCATTTTTTTCCTCCTGTGTCCTTAAAGATTAAAATCTAGATCTTATAGATATTACTATTCACTCTGAGCCTCATTCAAGAGCATTTCTTTATTCTTAGCCTAATTATCTCTTAAATGACTTTTTCTCAAGCTGAACTTTATTATTATTATTTCTTGGAAACACAAACCAAATAACACTTGGTTGCTCAGGAGATGTAAAGCAGTAAAACAAATGGTGTGTTGTGAGTGTGTCACCACGGTGAAACATGTTATTAAAACAACACATTATTTTCAATGCAATTAGGTGATTTTTCTTGTTGTGCTTACATCTGAGCTCTGATCTCATCCCTGTACTGTACACTCACTTTACTGACAATACTGTGTAACGCTCAGCTCTCGCACTGAATAGTTATCTCCCTGTGTGACTTTAACACTCTGGTGAGTGTGCTCTGAGTCTACATTTATGGTACTAATTTGTATTTGTGTGTTCTTGCTGCAGAGCTCAGTCTGAACGCTGAAGTGACAGAGTTGTTAAATGAGTGTGAGCGACCAGATTTGGTCCAGAGTCTGCTGCTGCCTGAGGATCTAGCTCTGCGACACCTGCCTGCTCTTGGTGTAGCCCACCGCCGCCTTGACTTTTCCCGGCGCAACCCCTCCCTCAGTCCCCTACAAGAGGTACAGGCACTCAGACTCATACATGCACATCATATTAAGTGCAGGCTAAAACACTGGAAGGCACAAAAGGAAATTGTCTGTCTCTGATTTATTGTCTTGAGCTGGGTAAACACTGAAATTTTGGTTATTGTGGGAAAAAGATGGCACATGTGAAAGAATGGTGTTGATATCTTTGGCCGTGACTCCAAACAACAGTCCTACAAAGAGAAGTTCAAAATGTTGTAAAGGGACAAAATTCAGACAATATGAGAAATCCAGAATTACCATCTGACAATGTAACTGCTCCCTTGACCTGTGTCTGTCAAACCAGCCAATGAGAGCACAACATAAAATCAACACAATACCCACACATGTTGTAGGAAAAAAACAACATATGAAATGGATTTAAGAAAACAAAGAAGAAATTCTAGTTTGAGGTGTTGCAGCACAGATTATTTGCTTGTTGTTATGTCATCCTGCTGTTATCATGATCAACATGATCAATGTACTACGCCACCAAGGGGAGCAGCCATGCATCATAGATCACAGACAAAGATTCAGCGGGGATGGTCATTGTACAGTGTACAAAGATTGCAACATAAGATTGCAAAAATAAATGTAGACAAACAAAAACATGATTCGGTTTTATTAATCACTTAAAATGCAATAAGAGTTTAATTTTAGAAGATTTACACATTTAATGAAATTAGCTCAGTAATTGAAATTAGAGCTGAAAGCATTACTTAATAGTTGATTAACAGAAAAATAGTGTCATGTAATACTGACCTAAATACTTCCAGACTTTGGACTGTTGATTTGAATCGAGGACGTGTGTGTGTGTGTGTGTGTGTGTGTGAGTGTGATGAACCAAAATAAGTTATTTAATGAGATGGAAATATTTGAGTAAAACTCCTGTGAAGTCTAAATGTGTAATCAGATATCCTCAGTTCTAAATCTTTGCGTCATTAAAGTTTTGTTTTTTTTGTCTTTGTGTTTCTTTCAGTGTGTGGTACGAGTGTGTTGTATTCGCAGCTTCGGCCACTTCCTGACAAGTCTCCAAGGCAACGTGCTGCACTTTAACCCAGAGGCGGGCATCTTCACCAGCGTTAGTCAGTCCAAACAGGATAATCTGGTGCAGCAGGCCAAGGCCCAGTTTCGCATGGTGATTGACATTTTAGTCATTACACAGTTTAAAATTTTAAAAAACCTGTGGTGTTGTGTACGTGTTTTTCTATTATGACCTATAAAATAAATATATAATGACCTGGAACCCAACATGTTTTTTGTTTTTGTTTTTTTTTTTTACATATTGACCCCGTTTTCTTTGTTTGTTTGTTTTTGTTTGTCCAGGCTGAAGAGGAGGCTCGTCGTAATCGATTAATGAGGGACATGGCCCAGCTTCGACTACAGGTTTTTATTTTAGTTACTGTCCCCTGACTCTGTGTTGTTATCGCTTTATAACAATCCCTAATACACGGTAAATTGATGACTAATTATGGTATTATAAATATAGTTAATTATAGTTTCTTTACAATTAACAAATCATGAAATGGTGATGTTTACTAATTGGTTAATGATTGGTTTAATCAATAAGTTTTCATTTTAGGTTAAAAAACAACTGTCTGCAAGTGAGAGTATTGCTGCTGCTTATGCATCATAGGACCTGCTCAAAGAGAATGTGTGCGTCTCTAAGAAGTGCTGGTTATGAGAACAGCCTCCCTCTTTAGTGATGAAAAAAACACACAAAGTGTTCTGAAAGGTTTACTGCAAAAGAGGGTCAACATAATCAACCAGAGTGTTGATAACCAAGAAAAAAACAGCTGTAATTAACAATAATCCACCATTAACATAAAACATGAGCCTGATTGGCCGGCCAAAGTTAACAAGAAGAAAGGAAGCAACTCCGACCACTCCGCTGCAGATTTCCTGTCTCTGCCGTAAACAAACATTAGATCTAAATCTAATAGAAATAAAGTTGTGAAAATATGACCACTGAGTCCATCAGAAATGACTCTAAATCATACAAAAACAAACTGAAGGCAGGAGAGACCATGAGAGACAACCTCCTGCTCACGTTTGGTAGCTTCCAGTTTGTAAGGCCAGACCACAGAGCTTAGTGATATACAGGTAACCAACAGGGGGCGGGGGGAGACATGCAGCAATAGTAAATACATTATGTAGTATATCGAATGCCATGTGCACCAGTGTCATCAGAATGTAATTATCTTTTATCAGCTGTGACAAAATGTTCATAAAATTTATTGGAGAAATCTTGAGAAGAGAAAGTTTGCAAGGAGTGACATTGTTTATTAGACTACAAGCATCCATCACTGACTACAATACATGTTAAAATAAAATCTACACGCTTCTTAATTTAATTAGAGATCATAACGAGTTGGGTTCCTTTCTTCTGTCCTCTCCTTGCAGTTGGAGGTGTCACAGCTAGAGGGCAGCCTTCAGCAGCCTAAAGCCCAGTCATCCATGTCTCCCTACCTGGTGCCAGACACAGCTGCTCTGTGCCAGCATCTGAACCTCATCCGGCAGCTGGCTGGTAGCGGTTGCTTTATCATCATCATCCCACGAACAGGTCAGTGCACTGTGGCATCTTTTGTCTGGAACAGCGGTACACAGCCGCTGTTTGTACCATTTCCCCACATAGGTGGTGGGGATTAATGGATTTACAGGGATCTTTCTCTTGTTCAGTGATTGTGCTTTATAGGATGACAGAGCAAAATATCAGTCTGAACCTAACCCTTTATAAAAAAATAAGTCTTAAAAGCCTCTCCATAAATTCGCACAATGTTACTCACCGCTAGAATTGGACCCGAGGCCAAGATTATGCAGGAAAAATACCAGGTTGTCTTAACGCTTTCCTTCTCAGATCCCTCGTAGGGGTAATCCTAGTTTCTCTTTTCTGAACTGAACAGTTTCTGCCAGTTTTCAGGCTTCCAAAGCAAAAAGGTTGTCAGATGTCGTGTTTACGGGGGAAAGAGTTGAAACCTTTTTTTCTGTACCGATAAACAAAGTCTTAAATATTTTCCCTCACCTGCTGTAGGTATTTTGAGTGTTAATTTCCCAGACTTTGTCAGTATCTCAAATGTGATAACAGGCAAACGTAGATTTTAACAAAAACTAATTAACTAAAAATAGTCTAGTCGTCCATTTTCTGTTTCTCTTATGGCTTTAGATTGTTTTCATTTCAGTTATTCTTATTGTTATTATTGGAAATTATTCCTGCATATGGCTGGGAATACAGGAAAGAACTGATCCCTTTTTATATTTTGGTATTAATGTAATATTTTTAGGCAGAAAATACATATTTAAAACTATATATTGGTGACACCTGCAGAAAATCCTGATTGGCACAAACATGCAAGTTTAAATTGGTTATTAATAAAGTTAATCAAGTCCAAAAGTTAAGAGGAGGATTTTTCGTGGCTCAGAAACGGGCCTGTGATAGTGACTGTGCTCATAAACACGACTGATCCACATGTTGGTGAAGACGAAGAGTCTGTGTTACCTTACTTAGAAGTCGATGTGTGTTCATGTTTTTCTATAAGCAAACATGTATTTAAGTTTTAGGAAATGAAGCCTCACTTCTTTCTTTCTTCTTCTTTCTTTTTTCTTTCTTTACTAAGTGAGGTTAAACATATTTTCAACACAGTCTTGTTGCTTTTTTTCCCCTTTTGTGGCGAGTTTGTCACAGATGGAGGCGAGTTTTTATTTCCCCATACAGACTTTGTACAGAAAGGCCACTGTGTGCAACAACATGAAGCAAACCTTTTTCACTTTGTCATTATGGGATGTTGTATGTAGAATTTTGAGGTGATAAATACATAAATTTAGAGCCAGGCTGTAACATGTAACGTAACACAGATTGTGAAAGGAATGAGTGGTGCTGAAACAAACTGATAAATCTATTATCAGTCACCGTGAAAATCAATTTAAGATTTCATACAACTTCTAAAATCAGTATTTGCTGGTTTGTCTTGTTTGTTTGTTTTTTGTTTTTTTTGCCTGTCCGTTTGGCTCTTTTGCCATCAGAATTGTTGTCTAAAGGCAAAGAAAGATGCCCAACGGATTTACTTTACCAAATTGACCATCCAGCCTTGCCATAATGGTCCATTTGATTCACCTTTTATTGTTTATTTTATTTTCACTTACTGAATACGGGACAGACTTGACTGGGGGAAAGAAGGGGAGAAAGAAAGAGGGAAAGAGAAACAGCTGAGAAGAGGGGCGGGGGAGAAGGGCAAAAACCAACAGAATGGGCAGAAAAAGAAAAAAAAGAAGAAAAAAGAAAAAAAATGCATATATCAATCACCTGGGTCACCGGTCTTGTTATTTTTGAGGCGCTTGAACATTACAAGCAATCTTCACTATTTTATAACTTCTTCTAGCCTAAAACAATTAACTGATTATTAACAGGAAATTGATTCTTTTATAATTATTTGTTGCCCTAAAAAAAAAAAAATCCTCACTAGTGGTTATGACAGCTCTGGTTTATTTAGTGTGTACCGAGCTGCTTCCTGACTAATGACACTAGACAGCAGCAGTCGGTCACATGTGCCAGTTTGGGGTGACCCAGTCACTGATTGGTTTGGGTGCATACCTGCATTCCACGTGGAGTAAATCATCTCTGGCCGGCACATTATTCCCCTGGCACCACCCCCGTGCACTCCCCGTCGCTGTTCACTGACTCGCAGAGAGACAAAATACAACAACAATTAAATGAGCTCAGTTCTAGCTTCATTTATGATTCGCCGTCTGCTCAAAGCGTACGAGTCAGAATCAAGCTCCAGACCTTCTGAGCGCTGGAGTTGCTGTTTGCCCAGGTGTTTAATCTGGACTCCCCTTTTCTTTTAGTGATTGATGGACTTGACAGGTTAAAGAAGGAAAATGCTGGTGCGAGGGATGGAATCCGCTTCCTGGAGTCTGAATTTCGTAAAGGCAACAGGTGGGTTAAGTTGTGAGATGAAACATTTCTCAATAAAAACTCTCTTTAAATCGTATTTCTTTCTTCCTCTGTAGATACATCCGCTGCCAGAAGGAGTCGGGTCGAAGTTTTGAAGAGAGATAAGCTGAAGCGGCAGGACATCGAAGCCTGGTAAGCTCTCTTCCCTTCTGCTGACGCCTTATTTGTTCCCGTGAATATGACTTCCAGCTTGACTGACCCAGTTTCTTGTTTCTAGGCATCTGTACAAGATGGTGGATAGTTGCCGTCAGCTAACAGTCTCCCAGAGCACGGAGATGAAGATACAGCCGGTATGGTGACCATTCTTACAGGCCATGAAGTAGAGGAGCTTTGCTCTCGGTCAGCAGCGATGAAGGTCAGTAACTCGCTGTATGTTTTATCTCACAGACACGAGCACTCAGGAGCTTTCCCACCTTTTTCTGCTCTTTTGGCTTCAGTGCCGTCTTCACTGCTTCGTGTTCATCACTGTTAAACACGGATCAGTATTTTCCAAGTACAGCACTGTGCAAAAATCTTGAGTCACTCCTAATTTTCAATATTTCTGCTTCAAAGGAGTCTGACTTGTTGTAATTTTTACCGCTCAGCCATAAAAGGCTATTGTCGTCACCTCTGTGGGCAGGCACGCGCAATTTGTGATTGCGTTAACTCGAGAATGACATAGAGCTTCAAATTGATACCAAAGGTGTATCTGCTAAAGATCTCGGATGTATTTGAATCTCAGTGAACTCAACCTCAAGTCAGAGGTCAAGTTTCTGAAAGTCTTGTGAATGCGGTAATTCGAGAAGGAAGTCACCTAAGATTTATACTATAGTTGCATCTGCTACAAATGTCTGGAAAGTTTGACCTCAAAGCCACCATCCCACATTCACCTCATCTACCACTGCTAACAGTGGAGCAGAGGTGGTGCAGGAAACAAAGGAAAACCAAAAGCTGAACAAAAATAGAAAAAGAACATAAAAAAATGATAACGTAAAGAAATGCATTAAAAAGTCTGCATCCAGGAAGCCCATAGGATGTTACCTCAGTCTGGGCAATACTAAAATGAGAAGTGAAGGGTTCAGCATATTTGAAGCAAACATTTAGGGAAAAACTCTGTCTTGCAAGAGTGTGTTTAACTCACTGGGTCTGTGGTGAAGTTTATTTTTGGTCTGAGAAGGTGACAAGTTTTGTCACCGCTTGCAGACTGTGGACAAGTTCTGCCTACTGAGCTTAAAATGTACAAATTTGAGAATACTTTGTTTTATCTTCGTGCCTCGTTTGTCTCCACCAGGCGGCGATCCAGGCGGCTGGCTCAGCAGGCATGGAGCTGAAGAACATCGTGGAGTTCTACCGTCAGTGGAAGGAGATTGGCTGAGAGGTCAAAAGGGGAGCAGCTGTCGGCGCTGCGAACAGCTGATCGATCACAACACTTGCTCCCTCTCTCTTTCTCCCACTCTTTTGCTCTGTGTGTATCTGCGTCTCCAAAGGCAAAAAAACAACTCAAAAGAAAGCTGGATGAGAGTTAAAAAGCTTAGAGGTTGGAAAAGTGAATAGTGGAGTTAAAAAAAAATTTTTTAAAGTAACTAAAAAAAAAGAAAGGCGGGCGAAACGACGCATAAAGAAACAGCAGATCCCACTCCTAATCCTAAACATAAAGAGTGACCCCTAGTGGTCGGGGTGAGGAAATGGCGGATGACGCTACACAATTTAAGTGCCCTGGTTCACTCCCTAACCAGGAATACACGTATATGTAGCAAACGAGTACATACGTGTTGAGAGAAACGGCGAGCACACAAACACATTCAAGCTGAATCCATATAGATATTTAGAGCAGTGGTTTGGATTTCCGTTCCCTTTTTCCCCTTTCCCTTCAGTCTGTATTTGAGAAGCAGGGTCAAGAATGTGCGAGTCTGGTGGGGCTGTGTTTTTTGTAAAGTCAAGGCTGTATGACGACAGCTTCGAGACAGAGAAAACGTGCTCTGTTCACCTGACGCTCGAGGCTTCCAGCCCTCATCTCGTAGCTCGTCAGCCTCTAGGAAGGGTTGAGGAAGACTTCTCCGCGAGCGGTTTCTTTCCTATGTGGCTTTTTTTTGGGGTTTTGTTTTTCTTTATTTGCAGTGTACTTTTGTGACCAGTGACTTATGTATTGTGCTATCTCATTATGAGAAAAGGAAAAAAAAACACATGACAGGCGTTGCCCTGTTAAAGGTTTTAATTTGGATTTTATTTTGTACCCAAATGATGTTGTTTATTTTGCTTTTTCTAAGCTAAATCTGAATGATATATGCAAGAATGTTTAAGGGAAAAGAAAGGGGTTGCTGTCGTGCGTGGATCAAGTAAACAAACCTTCAGTTCTGAAAATTAAAAGGAGCCTAGAATCTATTTATCGAGGTGTAACGTTAGTGTGAGGAGGGTAGCTAGAAGCCGATTGGCCTCATGTTGTAGCTAGTCGTTGTGGAGGCTAAGAAAAGAGGAGCTAGCTGGCTTTTCCCTGAGGAAGGTGGGACCCCTGTAAACTCCTAAAATGTACCCCATCTACATCACCATTTCCATAGTGACTGTCCCATCTTGCACTGTGCAAAAGAAAACCAGTATATGTGTGTGGCCATGCATTGAACAATAAAAAGAAACTCTCAACGATGTTGACCTCTTTCTTCTTATCAGTCCCCTGTGACCCTATGTCACCTTTTGTTTTCACCAGATCACTAGAGTGATAAGTCAAATAGGCGAGAAGCAGAAACCTCGTGACCCGAAAACTGTGAAGACAGCTCTGTCCCCTGCAGCTGGGAAGGGAGGTTTCTTAAACAGCCTTTTAGATTAAAAAAAAAACAGCACAGGGCTGCACTGGGGTTGTGTGGGAGTGGAGCTGTTTTCACATACTTGTGAGACATGAAATACAATCCAGGACTCTGGTTTTAGTTTGGGATACCGGTTCCACGAATTTAAAGGCTTCTTGGAAGCAAAAACCCAGCATACAGGTTTGTGAAACTCAGGATTTTACATGCCTGGAAAGTAACTGTAATATCAGCAGTTGTGAAGGATACAATACTTATATTTTGTTAAAGCTACACAATCATCCACCAGCACCTGTTTCCTCAATTAACTTCCTTTACAGATGGTGGTTTAAAAACACTTTGATTAACTGTTTTGTTTTA